CGGGGTTCGCAGATTCTTTTTGCACGGTCTGCCAAGGCTTTAATGGTGCTTCTTTTTTGACTTGGGTGATGGTTGGAGATTTTATGTAGAGTCACGATGAAGATCCACCCAGAGGAAAAGTGTTCTTGCCATACATCAAGGGAACCACTGACCACATAGGGAAGCTGATGAGGAAACACAACATACAAACCACCTACAGACCCACCAAGAAAATCCAACAAATGCTACGTTCAGCAAAGGACAAGAGGGATCCTCTCACCTCTGCAGGAGTCTACCGTGTACCATGCAGCTGTGGACAAGTCTACATAGGGACCACCAAACGCAGCATTGCCCAAACACGAATCAAGGAACATGAAAGGCACTGCAGACTACTTCAACCAGAGAAGTCAGCCATAGCAGAGCACCTGATGAACCAACCTGGACACAGCATATTATTTGAGAACACAGAAATGCTGGACCACTCCAACAACTACCATGTCAGACTACACAGAGAAGCCATTGAAATCCACAAGCATGTGGACAATTTCAACAGAAAGGAAGAAACCATGAAAATGAACAAAATCTGGCTACCAGTATTAAAAAACCTCAAAAATTACAACAGCAAAACAACAGAGAGGACACAATCGGGCACATCAAATCACTCTCAACAAAATATTCCCCCCAGGCACTTCCAAGCCATTAAATGCTAATCAAGGTGGTCAGTTGAAACATTCACAGCTAGCCCCAGCAGACAAGAGTCCTTTGTCCCACCCTGGTCATTCCACAGATATATAAACCCATTTTCCTACTTCCAACAGACCTCACTACCTCTGAGGTTGCTTGCCATAGATGCAGGTGAAACGTCAGGAGAAAATGCCTCTAGAACATGGCCACCTAGAACATGGGAAAGAAGTCGTCCAGGAATACCTGGCCGCTCAATGAGTTCAAGTCCCCAGGGCCAGATCAACTACACCCCAGAGTATTGAAGGAACTAGCGGAAGTCATTTCGGAACCATTGGCAACCATCTTTGAGAGTTCTTGGAGAACGGGAGAAGTTCCAGCAGATTGGAAGAGGGCCAATGTGGTCCCAATCTTCAAGAAGGGAAAAAAGGATGACCCAAACAACTACCGTCCGGTCAGCCTCACGTCGATACCAGGCAAGATTCTGGAAAAGATTGTTAAGGAAGTGGTCTGCAAACACTTAGAAACAAATGCGGTCATCACTAATAGTCAACATGGATTTATCAAAAACAAGTCATGCCAGACTAATCTGATCTCTTTTTTCGATAGAGTTACAAGCTGGGTAGATGCGGGGAATGCCGTGGATGTAGCGTACCTGGATTTCAGTAAGGCCTTCGACAAGGTCCCCCATGACCTTCTGGCAAGGAAACTAGTCCAATGTGGGCAAGGCAAAACTACGGTGAGGTGGATCTGTAATTGGTTAAGTGGACGAACACAGAGAGTGCTCACTAATGCTTCCTCTTCATCTTGGAAAGAAGTGACAAGTGGAGTGCCTCAGGGTTCCGTCCTGGGCCCGGTCCTGTTCAACATCTTTATTAATGACTTAGATGAAGGGCTAGAAGGCAGGATCATCAAGTTTGCAGACGACACCAAATTGGGAGGGATAGCCAATACTCCAGAGGACAGGAGCAGAATTCAAAACGATATTGACAGATTAGAGAGATGGGCCAAAACTAACAAAATGAAGTTCAACAGTGACAAATGCAAGATACTCCACTTTGGCAGAAAAAACAAAATGCAAAGATACAGAATGGGGGACAATGCCTGGCTCGAGAGCAGTACGTGTGAAAAAGATCTTGGAGTCCTCGTGGACAACAAGTTAAACATGAGCCAACAATGTGATGTGGCGGCAAAAAAAGCCAATGGGATTTTGGCCTGCATCAATAGGAGCATAGTGTCTAGATCTAGGGAAGTCATGCTACCTCTATTCCGCCTTGGTTAGACCACACCTGGAATATTGTGTCCAATTCTGGGCACCACAATTCAAGAGAGATATTGACAAGTGGAATGTGTCCAGAGGAGGGCGACTAAAATGATCAAGGGTCTGGAGAACAAGCCCTATGAGGAGCGGCTTAGGGAACTGGGCATGTTTAGCCTGAAGAAGAGAAGGCTGAGAGGAGATATGATAGCCATGTATAAATATGTGAGAGGAAGCCACAGGGAGGAGGGAGCAAGCTTGTTTTCTGCTTCCCTGGAGACTAGGACACGGAACAATGGCTTCAAACTACAAGAGAGGAGATTCCATCTGAACATTAGGAAGAACTTCCTGACTGTGAGAGCCGTTCAGCAGTGGAACTCTCTGCCCCAGGAGTGTGGTGGAGGCTCCTTCTTTGGAAGCTTTTAAGCAGAGGCTGGATGGCCATCTGTCAGGGGTGATTTGAATGCAGTATTCCTGCTTCTTGGCAGGGGGTTGGACTGGATGGCCCATGAGGTCTCTTCCAACTCTTTGATTCTATGATTCTATGATATAGCCTCAAAAAACCTCCAACAACCCAATCTTATTATTATTAATATTATTACTGTATTTTTAAATAAAATACAATATTTATATCCTTATCTGTTGTCAGGTACCTGGGACATTAAACATATTGAGAACTGAAAACAAGACAATTTCAAACCAGGTTGAAGATGCTTGGGGAACACTCGAAACCGCTCGAAACCGCGCTTTGCCCCTCCCTCCCTTGGGAAGTTTCCGAACGCGGAAGGAACGCCCACGCGAACCCCCATTGGCTCACTCCAGGGTTTCCTCTTCGCGAACGCGCTTGCCAACGTTCTGAAAAGGAATACATCGGTGGCCCTTCCGATTGGCTGCCTGGCGCGAGGGGCGGTCTGTGATTGGGCGCGACGCAGCAATCTCGACTCGTTCTGAACGCAGATGGCGGGAGCGCTGTATTCGGCGCTGCTGGGCGTCGTCCCCGGGGCTCCTCCCCAGCAGCGGCGGCGGCCCTTGGTGGTGCTGGGCCCCGAGGCTTCAGGCCGCTCGGCTCTGCTCTTCCGAGCGGCGCTGCTCGGCTCCAGCTTGGCGGCGGCTCCGGCCTCCGTGATGTTCCTAGCGCCGCGGCCCTTGCAGCGCCTGCCCTGCGCAGAAGGCCTCGATGCCGTCGCGATGCAGGTGATCATCCCCCAAACGTTTGCTGCTTCAAGTGTTTGGGACTTCAGCTCCCAGAATTCCCTGGCTGGGGATTGTGGGAATTGAAGTCCTCTCACTTGCAGACCGGATCTGTAAGTCCAAACTTTGAGGAATGGAAGAACTTTCTTGAAAGTGCAGTGCAAATGCTTAACTTCACTATAACAGCTATAGGCAAACTTGGGCCTTCCAGGTGTTTTGGAGTCCAACTCCCACCATTCCTAACAGCCTCAGGCCCCTTCCTTTTCCCCCTCAGCCGCTTAAGCGGCTGAGGGGGAAAAGGAAGGGGCCTGAGGCTGTTAGGAAAGGTGGGAGTTGGACTCCAAAACACCTGGAAGGCCCAAGTTTGCCCAGGCCTGATCTATAGCATTCAGACATTCCAGGTGTTTGGACTATGTGAAAGTAATTGTGTAGGGGGGGAAACTTCAGGGGCTCCTTTCTCCATCATTTTTACAGCTATTGGGGTGAAACCTACTACAAAGATAAAACACATTTTATTTATTTATTTAATTTATGATTCGAACGTATATGCCGCCACTCCCCTGGGACTCAGAGCGGATTACAAGAATAGGCTAAAATCTAACACAATTTAAAACAATTTAAAAACAGCAATATCAAAAATCAAAGGCCTGTCGAAACAAAAATCAAAGGCCTGACACTCAGCTGGTGCTGAAGATGGAAGGCTGACCAGACTCTGTACCTGATTGTTTCCATCAGTGCCTCAAGGCCGTTACTGGATGGCTGTGTGCCATCTTACAAGCCCTGCGGAAAGCTGATAAGTCCCGCAAGGCACGGACTTCAGGTGGCAGAGTATTCCAGAGTGATGGTGCCACTGCTGTAAAGGCTCTGCGTCTGGTTGCTGTTAGATGCAAGGTCTTGACACTGGGAATTTCCAATAGATCTTGGTCCTCAGAACGGAGGGATCTCTGGGGTTGGTAGGGGGTGAGGCGGTCCCTCAGATACATCGGCCCCAGACCATGCAAGGCCTTAAAGGTGAGTACCATCACTTTGAAAGTGATCCGGTGCTCAATTGGTAACCAGTGCAGCTGTAGTAAGATTGGGGTTATGTGGCATCTCATCGGAATTCCCGCAAGAAGCCGAGCAGCTGCATTTTGTACCAACTTGAGCTTCTGGATCACCGACAGAGGAAGGCCAATGTAGAGGGCGTTACAGTAGTCCAGTCTTGAGATGACCATAGCCTGGATCACCATAGCTAGGTCGTCCCTGGACAGGTAGGGGGCCAGCCGTCTAGCCTGCCACAGATGGAAGAAAGCGGTTCTGCTAACGGCGGAGACCTGGGCCTCCATCGTCAGCAGAGGGTCCAAAAGGACTCCCAGACTCTTTACCAATGATGACGGGCGTAGCGCCTCGCCATCCAGGGTAAGCAGCTGGATATCCCCACTGCCTGGTTGACCCAGCCATAGGATCTCCGTCTTTGCTGGATTCACCCTCAACCTGCTGGCACACAGCCATCCAGTAATGGCCTTGAGGCACTGATGGAAACAATCAGGTACAGAGTCTGGTCGGCCTTCCATCTTCAGCACCGGCTGAGTGTCATCGGCGTACTGATAACACTCAAGCCCAAAACCTCGAACAAGTGCAGCTTCTTCATGCCTCCCATCCTAAGTCATGAACAATCTTCCTTTTCTGTCCATAGAGAATCCAGTTCCTGTACCCACCATCTCAGCTGCTGTTTCAGGTTTTGGCCAACCTGCAGCAGACCAGTTGCCCTGCCCTAGTAGTGGTGGATGGCTTGGAGGAGTATTTGAGCAGTTGCTCTGGACCGAATGTGGCTGCTCAATTGGTGGCCTTGCTGCTGGACACGGTGAATCATTTCAGCCAGAAGCTCAGCCGTGTGTCTTCAGCTTGCCAGCTCCTCGTTTCCATGAAATCTCCAGGAGAAGCTGGGGAAGATGGGGGACATTTTTCAGTGGTTGAGCGCTACTTCCAGGCCCAGATGTGGCTGCACCCAGAGGAGAGCTCAGATCCAGTGAGCCATGGTGCCACCAAGGTGGTTAGAGCACGTCTCTCCCAGCCCGGGTCTCAAGATCAAGAATGGCTGCTGAGATTTGAGCCTGAAGGTAAAATGAAGATCTCTTCACTTCCATGCCAAGGTGAAGATAGCCGTGGCGCAGCTGCACAGAATGACACACCTGCTGGGGCTGAAGCCCAGGTATTTCTACCTGGCTCTCAATGTTAGATCTCTGGTGATCATTTGCTATGGAGTTGTCTCTTCTAGAGGAGTCCCTTGACCTACAGCAGGCCTCTTCAACCTGCAGCCCTCCAGGTGTTTGGGCCTCAGTAAACTACAAATCCTAGGATTACTTAGGAAAGTGCCATTACAGTTAAAGGAGCTTGAGATAAATGCTTTTTATAAGTTACATATGATATGTGTTATATCATATGTAACTTTGTTATATCATATGTAACGTGTTATTGTCTGAGCTCAGCCAACTATCTGAGTTTTCAGATGATTCCAGTGCATCCTGCGCAGTTGTTAAATCTTGCTTCATCGCCAAACATGCTTGTGCCGCTTCTCATGAAAGATCAGTATTTTCTTAAGAGCATATGAAAAGATGAAAAAATGTATAGTAAATGGAATAAGACAGAGAGAGGCTTGAATATTATCCTTCAGACATCAATCTGAAAACATGGGTTGCCCTTGCGTGAAAGACAGCCCTCATCAGTAGGACTCTCCCCTGATGTTTGACTACAACTCTAAGTATTTTTATATTGATGGCCATTCTAGATGTTGTAAAATTTGTTGTTTATCCAGAAAGAAGCTTAGTTTTTTTTAATAAAGAGAAAAGCTAGGCCCAAACACAAGAAACACAGTATATATCTTTCATTCCAAGTGTGTATATATATGTATATGTATATATCTCTCATTCCAAATGAGAAATAGGTTCTTGTAGATAGGCCTCTTTTACCTGTGGCCCTCAAGACGTCTTGATATGTATATCTCTTTCTTGTTTTTTCCCCTTTGGTAATTATTCAAGTCCATGTATTATAAGTATGTTTTGTATGTCTGTAGGAATAGGATGTAAACTGGTGAGGTCCAAGTGAGAGAAGAAATGGGAATTGTTATATACTTGTGCAGCCGAAAATCTTTCAATAAAATACTCAAAACATAACCCACCTGAATGTTTGCTGATTTAACGTGGAGTACAGCCCCCGGTGGCGTTAAAGCACTGAGCTGCTGAGCTTGTTGACCAAAAGGTCCCAGGTTCAATTCCAGGGAGCGGCGTGAGCTTCCGATGTCAGCCCTAGCTTCTGCCAACCTAGCAGTTCGAAAACATGCAAACGTGAGTAGATCAATAGGTACTGCTCCGGCGGGAAGGTAACGGCACTCCATGTGGTCATGCTGGTCACGTGACCTTGGAGGTGTCTATGGACAACGCTGGCTCTTCGGCTTAGAAATGGAGATGAGCACCACACCCCAGAGTCAGACAGGACTGGACTTAATGTCAGGGGACAACCTTTACCTTTTTACAGTCCATTGGGATATTCTTCCACATCTATTGAAACAGTGAGGGGTTGTACCACAAGAATTGAATGCAGGACATTTGCTACACCTATTGAGGTATATGGCCCATTTTACGGTATGAATTTATTTTGCTACATGGTGAGAGCTTTGTGTTCTGATTTCTCCAGGGTTACCTACTTGTGTAACTGCCCTCCTGTTGGGTGAGAAGTAAATGCAAGATATTTTAATTGTCATGTACATCTTTTGTTGCCCTGATCTGGTTTGTTGTTTTTTTTTATAGCAAAGTTTATTGATTAGTCCACTGACCATATCAACATTAAAAACAGAAACGTACACAAATAGACAATAATCACTATCCTAAGACTCCCATAATAGTGAGCTAACATATATTCAAACTTGATTAAGTTAAAATATAATTAAAAATACCATCATTAAAATCATCATCATCATCACTTTATTTCTTAATTAGTCGCTCTCCACCAAGGTGCTCCGAGCGACTTACAATTTAAAATAGCATTTACAAAATGCCAGGCCAGCTGCTTGGGTGAAGGCACGATCAGTGGCCACATCATTGTAGATGTTGTTCTTAAAAATCCTCCCATGGATGCAGCTGTTCACAGAAAGGACAGCCTTTGTAGTTGACCGAGGCAGACCTAATTAAGAGTATGTTTTTAAAGATGTTTATTGAGACAGCATTATTTGTAAAGATGCACGACTTTTGAAATTCATCTGTGTGCCCACCAAACTAATAATAATGATAATAATAATAATAATACAAAGGGGACTCAGGGTGGCTTACGTGAGACCGAGCCCAGAAATACATTACAGCAAAATACAATAAAATAAAACCAGAACAACAGAACTAAGGACTTTATCCATTCACTAATATTGTGTTAAGTGTAATATGGTTCTGGTTAATTTGGCTTTCTATCGTGCTTACTGTGAAGTCTGGTAAACTTTGGCTTCAAAATCTCTTGATTCAAGTGCTAATGGTGACCATAAAAACAGACTGGGCAAGTCATTAAAGTTACAAATGGCAATCAGTTTAAAATTTTCCTTTTGTTTCCCCTAACCTGGAGCACATTTATTTTATAGGTAGATAGATGTGTTCTCCCAAACTTTCCTGAGGCCCAGCATTTCGAGTTGGTTTTCTCCTTCTGTCCTGTTTTTGTGTGAGTAGATCATCTTTCTGTCTGCACTGGGAATTAAACTTTTTTGTGTGTGTCAGGAGCGACTTGAGAAACTGCAAGTTGCTTCTGGTGTGAGAGAATTGGATGTCTGCAAAGGACATTGCCCAGGGAACGCCAGGATGTTTTACCATCCTGTGGGAGGCTTCACTGATGTCTCTACATGGGAAGCTGGAGCTGACAGACAAGAGCTCACCTCACTTACAAGATTCGAACCGCCAACCTTTCAGTCAGCAGTCCTGTTGGCATAAGGGTTTAAATGTGTTGCGCCACTGGGGGCTCCATGGGAATTAAAGTGAAAACAAGTTTGTGAATGCCTGATGTCAATCTCTGCTTGTTAACCGTTGTAGACTCCGAAAATTCCTAAGGAAATATCCCTTATTCTGAGAGCTGTGCCCCCCCCTAAAAGCTCTGGTGTATGGATCCCCCAGTCTCATTGTCCTGGTTTGTAATACATGATGAGTTGAAAGGACTGGCCAAGCACTGCAGATTTCTGCTGAAGCATCTTTAGTGTTCCATACTTTTATCATCCTATGTTCCACACTAGCTTGGATCCACTTGCATGTGAAATCGTTTTTTGCAGGATCCAGCTTCTCTCTTTCATCTACAGTTCTATATCCATTTAGAACAGTGGTTCTCAACCTTGTTCATGCCGCAACCCCTTAATACAGTTCCTCATGTTGTGGTGACCCCAAGCATGAAATTATTTTTGTTCTTACTTCATAACTGTAATGCTGCTACTGTTATGAATCGTAATGTAAATATCTGATATGCTGGATGTATTTTCATTGACTGGATCAAATTTGGCACAAATACCCAAATTTGAATACTGGTGGGGTTGGGGAGAGGGTTGATTTTGTCATTTGGGAGTTGTAGTTTCTGGGACCTACAATCAAAGAGCATTCTGAACCCTACCAATGATGGAATTGAATCAAACCTGGCACACAGAACTCCCATGACCAACAGAAAATAATGGAAGGGTTTGGTGGGCATTGACCTTGAGTTTTGGAGTTGTAGTTCACCTACATCCAGAGAGCTTTGTGGACTCAAACAATGATGGATCAGACCTAAACTTGGCACGAATTCACAATATGCCCAAATGTGAACAATGGTGGAGTTTTTGGGGAAAATAGACCTTGACGGTAGTTGTAGTTGCTGGGATTTATAGTTCACCTACAATTAAAGAGCATTCTGAACCCCACCAATGATACTACTGGGCCAAACTTCCCACACACAACCCCATGCCCAACAGAAAATACCATGTTTTCTGATGGTCTTTGGCGACCCCCCTGACACCCCCTTGCGACCCCCCCCCCCAGGGGTCCCGACCCCAAGGTTGAGAAACGCTGATTTAGAAGAATCTTCAAGAATCTTTGTAGCCTTGGAAATATAGTGTGCTGACAGCATTGAAGAGGGACCACCCCAAACAGGGAAGGGAATAACGGACTATCCTATTAAACAGCATTCTTCTTGTGCAAGTTAACTTAGGAATCAAGCGACCGCTTTCAGCACCTAAACCCATTTCTGGCGGGATTTTGAGCTTTTATCTTAAGGCAGTTCTCTTTGGGGAGTGATCTTTTAGCCTATAGCTCCTATCAGCCCTAGCCTTCCTTGCCAGCAGTGAGAGATTAGAGCAGTGGTTCTCAACCTTTCTAATGCTGCGACCCCTTAATACAGTTCCTCATGTTGTGGTGACCCCCAACCATAAACATTATTTTTGTTACTACTTCATAACTGTAATTTTGCTACTGTTATGAATCATAATGTAAATATCTGATATGCAGGATAAATTTTCATTCACTTTACCAAATTTGGCACAAACACCTGATACGCCCAAATGTGAATACTGGTGGGGTTTTGTCATTTGGGAGTTGTAGTTGCTGGGATTTATAGTTCACCTACAATCAAAGAGCATTCTGAACTCCACCAATGATGGAATTGACCCAATCTTGGCACACAGAACTCCCATGACCAATAGAGAATACTGGAAGGCTTTGGTGGACATTGACCTTGAGTTTTGGAGTTGTAGTTCACCTACATCCAGAGAGCACTGTGGACTCAAAACAATGGTGGATCTGGACCAAACTTGGCCCGAATACTCAATATGCTCAAAGTGAACACTGGTGGAGTTTGGGGAAAATAGAACTTGACATTTGGGAGTTGTAGTTACTGGGATTTATAGTTCACCTACAATCAAAGAGCATTCTGAACTCCACCAATTATAGAATTGGGCCAGACTTCCCACACAGAACCTCCATGACCAACAGAAAAGACTGTGTTTTCTGTTGGTCTTTGGTGACCCCTCTGACACCCCTTCACGACCCCTCCAGGGGTCCCGACCCCCAGGTTGAGAAATGCTGAATTAGAGTATAGGCAGTTTGAGTTGGGAGGGGGAAAAAAGACCTGGAGGGCCACCGTTACCCACCAAGTCCTCATAATGCAGAGCTTGAGCGCAGTAGCAGAAGCACTTGCAGGTGTCAGGAGGAACAAGCAGAACCCACCAAGGTCTGATGGAGCCCCACGTGTTGGCCAACGCAGGGAGAAGGCGTCCCCCCCCCCCCCGCCGCCTGGTACGGACAGCTTCCAAACATTATGTTCTGAACTTTCTGTCCTGGATGTCATCCAGCTACAGAAGGCGCCTGGCTGGTCTGCCGTTTTCTGCAATTTGTGTGTGCGATTAACAGCTGCAGAAGGTGGTGGCTGTCTTGCCGATAAGGGCTTATCACCAGGGCAAAAGCTTGGGTTGGGTCTTCTGCGCTGCTGGGCTGTGAATGTGGGCATAACGTTTTTGAGTGCTGGCAGGAACTTGGCTTCTTTATTTGGGCACCCCTACCTAAATGCCTTTGCTGTCTCAGGCCAAAATCCAATAATAATACGGTGGAGCATGTAGCTTCATTAATGTCATTGCATTGGTCTTTCTTTTGTTGCTGCAAAATGTAGTATGATGACATCAGGGGCACTTTTGTGTCCAAGAGGATGGAGAGGTCCCCAGATGCTGTCTTGCTAAAGTTGGACAGCTGTCACCCTCTTAAATCTGAAGCATTTTACAGTACTGTTAAGAGGGGAATGACTCTTCTTTTTGCCTGGCTGCCCAACTCCAGTGCCACAGTGGTCCATGCTCTCTTTACATCTAGGATAGACTACTGCAACACACTCTACATGGGGTTGCCTTTGAAGACTGCTCGGAAGCTTCAAATAGTCCAACGAAAGGCAGCCAGGTTAATAACTGGGGTGGCATACAGGGAGCATACAACTCCCGTGTTATGCCAGCTCCACTGGCTGCCAGTTTGCTACCGGGAACAATTCAAAGTGCTGGCTTTGGCCTATAAAGCCCTAAACGGCCCCGGCCCAAATTACCTGTCCGAATTGATATCCCCCTATGAACCATCACAGAGATTAAGATCCTCCGGGGAGGCCCTGCTTTCCGTCCCGCCATTGTCACAGGCACGATTGGTGGGGACGAGAGACAGGGCCTTCTCGGTGATTGCTCCCCGGCTATGGAACTCCCTTCCTGGTGAGATCAGGTTGGCCCCCTCTCTCCTATCCTTTAGAAGGATGGTAAAAACTTGGCTGTGGGCCCAAGCATTCAGGACACGGCAATAAAGCAGCAATAGGAAAGATGACCAGGCCAATTAGATTTGACGCAGATGACTAGGATGGTTTTAAATGGTGTATTTTAATATTTTGATAAATGTTTTTTAATGTTTATGTATTGTATGTGATTTTGTGTCCCGGCATTGAATGTTTGCCGTATATATGCTGTGCTCCGCCCTGAGTCCCCTTCAGGGTGAGAAGGGCGGAATATAAATATTTAAAATAATAAATAAATACTTTGGTCAGAAATCCTACATCAGAGCAGATATTAGACTTTCGTTGCTTTTATAGCACAGGTAAGATTTAAAGAAGGTGGGAAAGAACATATACCCACATCAGAACAATACTAAACACTTCCAGTTCCAAACTGGGGAGAGTCTTAAACTTTTCTGTTGGTGTTTGGAATTTTTTGTTGTGGGTCCTTATTTGGTATTTGCCTAATGTTCTAACTGGAGGTCAGCTGTTACCAACAGTGCTGTGGAATTCAAAGAGGCACGAATTGCAGGTGAGGGAAACAATTGTGTCACGAGGAATGCATGTCAATCCTTGTTGGGACTGCCTTCCATCTGGAAACCAATGTCCTCACTGCAAAAGAACATGTGGATCAAGAATAGGTCTCTACAGTCATCTATGGACCCACTGCCAAGACCCTATGCTTGAAGGCAATCACACTTGGTCACGAGTGATTGCCTATGGTGATGCTGAATGTTGAAGTCTGGTGGGGTTTAGATTCAATGTTAGTCTTCACACATACACTGGCCACAATCCTGTATGGTCCGGACTAGCACACTGCTGTGATACAGCTACATCACACAGTGACGCCCTTGCTTCCAGAACATACTGTGGAGTCACTGTTGTTCCTCTATAATTGTGCGGTATTCCAGAAACTTTGTTTTTGTGGCTGCCACAAACTATGTTGAATTGGTTGAGACTATATGAAGTATTCATTGAAAAACTACAGCAAAATGTGCTACAGGATGTCCCGCAGAAACAAAGGTTTTTCAATTTAATAAACCTTTTCCATGTTTTTTTATAGAACCAATTAGGAAATGACATCTATAACCCAGGAACAAAAATAGTTTGATATAGTGTTATTGGTGTGTGTGCATTGCTTTCCTAGATCCCAGGAATGAAATCATGATAAGTGTGAATCTTTCCTGCTAGCTTGTCTCAAGACCTTCTGAGATTGCTGTTCAGATAATGTATTAGATAATATGGAAAAGGTTTATTAAACTGAAAAACCTTCAGATATTATCTAGTTACAGTGGCTATTTATCCTTGAAGTGACTGGATTGACCTTGAAGGAGCTGGGGGTGGTGACGACTGACAGGGAGTTCTGGCCTGGACTGGTCCATGAAGTCACGAAGAGTCGGAAACGACTGACCGAATAAACAAACAAAAAAACAATGGCTATTTACCAAGCTACATCCAGCTAACAAGGGGTTCATTTACTTTTCCGAACGTATCTCCCTCTGCGTCCCGCCTCGTAGTTTTACATCATCCGGGGCAGCCCTGCTCTTGCTCCCACCAGCGTCACAAATGCATCTGGCGGGGACAAGAGACAGGGCCTTCTGGGCTGTAGCCCCCCAACTGCGGAACTCGCTTCCCAACGAGTTAAGATCGGCTTCATTCCTCCTGTCTTTTAGGAAGAAATTGAAATTGTGGTTCTGGGACCAGGCTTTTGGACAGCAGACATAAATAGCACTTTGGATGTGGAATTTGACTGGAATGGTGATACAGCTGTTAATACTGTTTTTATTGTTTTAATTAATGCTCTATTTATTGTTTTAATTGTTGTTATATTGCTTTGTTATATGTAGTGGCATCGAATTGTTGCCAAATGTAAGCCGTCCTGAGTCCCCCTCTGGGGGTAGAGAAGGACAGGATAGAAATACTGGAAATAAATACATAAATAAATAAATTAGTATTTATGATTACCGAGTTATGTAAGACTTTTTGAAAAACCTTTTGCCAATCAGGCTTCCTATGGGTATAGAGCTACTAAGTATGAGGAACCTTCATGGTTCCCGGGTATAAAAGTTTTACCACCTTTGTTCTCAGAGCTGTTGGTCTTTTCTAGTTTTAGCCTTTTATTTTGGAATGTTGACCATCATCATGAAGAAGGCTAGCCAGTCTGGCTTCAAAAGGGTCAAGTTCTGGTTTCCCTGGTCATGGGAAAACCTGAGAACAGAACTACGTTTCTGTAGGTGGTTAGGAATAGTTTAACATAGGGCCAGGCATGTAGCCGGGGGGGGGGGGGGGGGGGGGGGGGGGGGGGGGGGGGGGGCTGAAGCCCCCCCCCCAAATTCTCATGGTGGTCTGCGATAAGGCCTTGTTGTTGTTCATTTGTTCAGTCGTCTCCGACTCTTCGTGACCTCATGGACCAGCCCACGCCAGAGCTCCCTGTCAGCCGTCACTACCCCCAGCTCCTTCAAGGTTAGTCCAGTCACTTCAAGGATGCCATCCATCCATCTTGCCCTTGGTCGGCCCCTCTTCCGTTTTCCTTCCACTTTCCCCAGCATCATTGTCTTCTCTAGGCTTTGCTGTCTCCGCATGATGTGGCCAAAGTACTTCAGCTTTGTCTCTAGTATCCTTCCCTCCAACGAGCAGTCAGGCTTTATTTCCTGGAGGATGGACTGGAGAAGGCCTTACTGGTACATTATTTAAACTGTTATGTTATTCATATCATGATCTGATCACCATGCTCAATATATCCCATATGCATGGGGGTATTGAGGTAACGATACAAAAGGTTTGCTAGGGTAGACCCTCTTTCACTCAGACTCAGCCCCCCCCCCCCCCCCCCCCCCCCCCCCCCCCGAATCAAACTCAGCTCCCCCTGAAACAAAATCCTGGCTACGGGCCTGCATAGGACCCTTCCACACAGCGATATAACCCAGTTCAAAGCAGATAATGTGGGATTTTAATCAATTTTGTGGAAGGGGCCTTAGAGGATATCAGAGGTTTTTAAACATTTTCTAGCTGGTTGTCATTTCCAAGGTTTGTCTGAAATATAGTTTGTTTCTAACCATGGTCTAAGAGGCAATATCCAGAAATCTCATTCAATCTATTTTTCTTAGAATAAAACATTCGTAAACAAAATTTGCATTTATTTATTAAAAACTTAATAAAATGTTTATAAAAATATATACAATTTCTGTCTGAATTCTGACTCATAATTTTAAAAACAACAATTGTATTTACACCTACTTGTGAAAAATCCTATTCCTGAAACAAAGACAATTTCATTCCATTTGTTTGTGTTGGTCTGAAAGATAGTTAAAAGCAGTAGAAAAATGTGTTGGCAGCCAGTGGAGCTGTAACAACACAGTTGTATGCTTGCCTAAACCACATTTTCAATGGTAACAAAATAGAAGTTCTGGGATTCTATGACCTCTTCCATCGTCTTCTCAACTCCCTGAACTCCACTCTCTCTTTCCAATACTGAGAGATGTTTCCTCAGATCTTCTGTCTCAAGCCCAAACATGCAACATTTGTGGCTTGGTTTTAGAATACAGCATGAAAAGATATTTTAATTAAGCCTACAGTCCAAAAATGAAGATAAAGGAAAGGCAAGACCTTTGCTCACTCTTATATTATCAAGAGGGTTTCCTCCAATTGTAGATGGTTGGTTGGTATGAAAGTTTCAAGTTTCCAAGCAGGCTCTAAGTCACAGGGAGGAGGGAGCAAGCTTGTTTTCTGCTGCCCTGGAGACTAGGACGTGGAACAATGGCTTCAAACTACAAGAAAGGAGATTCCGTATGAACATGAGGAAGAACTTCCTGACTGTGAGAGCTGTTCAGCAGTGGAACTCTCTGTGGTGTGGTGGAGGCTCCTTCTTTGGAAGCTTTTAAACAGAGGCTGAATGGCCATCTGTCAGGGATGCTTTGAATGCAATATTCCTGCTTCTTGGCAGGGTGTTGGAATGGATGGCCCATGAGGTCTCTTCCAACTCTGATTCTATGATTCTAGGATTTAAACCTGAAGAAAATCGCATACAGCTCTCAGAATCAATCGGTCAGCAGGGAATTTTCTGAGCTTGGCTCAGTCCTGTCTTGGACCATACCCATAGACTTCTATGGGATACAGTCAGCTTTACAGAACATGTTTGACTGTGCTCAAGGTAAAGATGTTGCAGTGCTTTTCATGTTAGTATATTCTGTTAGATGGGCCACAGTTTCATCATGGACCAAACATCGTAAGTATGTTCCCTCCATTATTCATCCTTTTGTGCATTTACTGCTCATTCATCCTCGCTACTCCATCTAATTTGCAAACCTCTCTTCTTCTCACCGGAGCTATCTGGAGCTTCTGAGACAGCCCCTATCTGTTCCCACTAGCTTCTGTTACTTCTGGAGAACGGAGGGGGAAAGGTGCCAGTCTTGGGGACTAGTTCTCTCACTGCCTCTTGTCTCCTTGGCCGAGTGTCTTGGTTCTGTGCTCACCACCATCACCGCTAGGAGCACACAATGTAGGCAGGCTGGAACAGTTGTGGGCCTCCATCACAGAGGTTGGTGTATAAGCTTATTTGGCCCGTACTTGACTCTGCAAGGCTGTAGTCAGCTGAAATCCCAGAGTCGGAAACCATCTGGTAGCTGCTCTTGAGCTGGACCTCTGTCTGGGGATGGCCCTGAGGGCAAAGGCTTTCTGAGCTGGGATCGAATACGGTGTACTCAAAGCTGGAGGATGTTTGGCTGGGCTCTGGAGATCTTGTTCTCTCGCCAAGAGCTGGATCTGGGCCCTCACTACCATCGCTGTCTGGCAAGAGCAGGGTGCCATCCCCACCAAGGCAGCAGGGCAGTAGATCTTCATCCAGGACGAGATAATCACCCTGGGAGACTTCTGGTATTTGGGGGAGCTCCACCATGTTGCACTTTTTGGGTGGAAGTGGAGGAGGGAGATGAGGGCCATCCCCCTTCCAGCCATCACGGTCAGACAGGACTTCCACCAGGAATGGCTGCTCCTCCAAATATGGAGAATTTTGGCTCCACCAAAGATAGGCACTCTGCTGTCCCATCCACAGCTGCAAAGAAAGAGGTGATGCTGTGTCAAGGAGATGGTACAGAAAGCCCCCCTTTCCCCAGTTTCCCCCCAGTAGCTCCCTGTTTCCACTTCCTTTACTTCCACAGTCTTCCCGTCCCCATTTGAGAGCTGCTTTACCCCATAACAACTTTATATTTGAAATATTTGAGCTTGGCACAATCTATCTTACCTACAAAGCCCTGAACGGTTTTGGCCCCGCCTACCTATGTGACCGTATCTCTGTATACGAACCCACACAATCTCTTCGATCTTCCAGGGAGGCCCTACTCTCGATCCCACCAGCATCACAGGCGCGGTTGGTGGGGACAAGAGAGAGGGCCTTTTCGGTGGTGGCCCCTCGACTCTGGAACTCACTCCCTAAAGACATCAGACAGGCTCCAACCTTGGCAGTCTTCAGGAGGAGCTTGAAGACATGGCTGTTCCAGTGTGCCTTCCCGGAATAATGATCCCATAGCACTTTGTTCTCCAAAGCACTTTATATTTTCTGGGTCTGCTCGTATGCCCTTCCATAAACACCTGCATCATCCTCCGTTCATGTCCCAGCATATTTCCAATTTTAACTTTACATTTGGCCTCCCCTCTATTTTTAATTGTGTGTTTTTTTTATTGATAATGTTGTTTATCTTATTGTTTATGTTTTTAATTGCTTGTATTGTGGTTTTATTGCTTGTATTGTTGTGTTCGGGCTTGGCCTCATGTAAGCCGCACCGACTACCTTGGGGAGATGATAGCAGGGTACAAATAAAGTTAATAAATAAATAAATAAATAATAAATATTTGCGGCAGTAATTAACAAAAGCATTGAGACTTCATCAAGTCCCTTTTGAGTTGAACCAAATTGGCTCGTATGGGGTGTCAAGAGATCCCTGAAACCTAAGCATTGTGATATAATACTTTTCAGTCTTTGGTCCTCCTGACATTTTTGGATTTCAACTCCCAGAAGTCCCCCTCAGCATAGCCAATAGTAAATGATTAATTGAAGTCCAAAGCATCTGGAGCAGTGGTTCTCAACATGTGGGTCCCAAAGTGTTTTGCCCTACAACTCCCAGAAATCCTAGCCAATTTACCAGCTGTTAGGATTTCTGGGCGCTGAAAGCCAAAACATCTGGGGACCCACAGATTGAGAACCACTGGTCTGGATGGTCAAAGACAGAACCACTACTCTTAAGACATCATACGATGCACATTCTGCCTTAGAGGTCACACACGTGTATAACCTAAAGGGTAGCACCTCAACTCATAATAACAATTCTAAAATGTAATTCCTTTGGGAGAGCATTCCGTCATAGTCAGGCAAAGCAAATGTCAACATTACAACAGTGGCAGAGGACTGTAGTCCTATTAGACCCCCAAGGTTAAATATCTTATCATTTATTGTCGAAGGCTTCCATGGCCGGAATCACTGGGTTGTTGTAGGTTTTTTCGGGCTGTATGGTCATGGTCTAGAGGCATTCTCTCCTGACATTTCGCCTGCATCTATGGCAAGCATCCTCAGAGGTAGTGAGGTCTGTTGGAACTAGGAAAAAGGGTTTATATATCTGTGGAATGACCAGGGTGAGACAAAGGACTCTTGTCTGCTGGAGCTAGGTGTGAATGTTTTAACTGACCACCTTGATTAAAATACAATGGCCCGACTGTGCCTGGAGCAAACTTTTGTTGAGAGGTAATTAGATGTCTCTGCCTGCTTCCTCTCTGTTGTTGTGCTATTGCAATTTTAGAGTTTTTTAATACTGGTAGCCATATTTTGTTCATTGCACACTCAGCCCATTGTATGATAATCAAGGTGGTCAGTTGAAACATTCACACCTAGCTCCAGCAGACTAGTCCTTTGTCTCACCCTGGTCATTTCACAGATATATACACCCTTTTTCCTAGTTCCAACAGATCTCACTACCTCTGAGGATGCTTGCCATAGATGCAGGTGAAACATCAGGAGAGAATGCCTCTAGACCATGGCCATACAGCCCGAAAAAACCTACAACATCTTATCATTTACCTCAATGGTTCTTAAGCTTTGGCTTTCCAGATACTATGGCTCTCAGTTACCAGAATTCTTGACCATTAGTCAAACTGGCTAGGGTTTCTGGGAGTTGGAGTCCAAAACACCAGGAGAACCAACAGTTGGGAACCACCACTCATATGGAATATGCAACATCAATGGGAAACTCCTAGAAATCAGTTTGCAACTGTAGAAGTACTTGATTAGATTGGATTCCTGCTATGGGAATAACGTAGTCTTTTATAAATTGCTGGACTGCTATTCTAATCAGACCTAGTCAACAAAGCTATTGGTAAGGAATACTAGGAATAGTAATGCAACAATATGCATGGTAGAAGGTTGGACTGAGCAGTTCTGTTGTCTCTACCAACTAGGGTTCTGTGAATATTTGGAAGGTCAAAGAAAAGGGAGCCTACTATTCCAAAAGAATTTCTATAAAGCATATGTCCCCCTTACTTCTAACATAATTGATAGCTCTCACTACAGGGTGTTTGGCTAATGAGTTCCCCAACTTGTGTACGAAGAATTGGGAGGTGTTTGGTCCTACTGCTACAAGGGTTGAATGAAAAGTAATACCTCCAACTTCGTAACTCCTCAACAGAAGGCAGTACTTGTATGTGGCAGGTACTGGCTTGTTCAATAGACTTTCCTCTACAGTTGCATTTTGGCAGAAAGCCTTAGCATTGAACGGTTGTGTTGTTAAAGTGCAAAGTATGGAACCCTGCGCAAATGGTCAGTCAATGCTGTGAGATGCTGGTTGCGGAAACAGAGTGTCAACTTGTTCCATGACGGCTTCAGAAAACTTGTTCATCATTGGCAGAAATGTATCCAGTTTTTGTTGTTCATTCGTTCAGTCGTCTCCGACTCTTCGTGACCTCATGGACCAGCCCACGCCAGAGCTCTCTGTTGGCCGTCACCACCCCCAGCTCCTTCAAGGTCAGTCCAGTCACTTCAAGGATGCCATCCATCCATCTTGCCCTTGGTCGGCCCCTCTTCCTTTTACCTTCCACTTTCCCCAGCATTACCTTCCACTTTCCCCAAATGTATCCAGATGTCTGGTAATTATGTGGAAATGTGAATACTGGTAGTATTGTGTGTCGTTAGGTGAGTAAGTTTAAAGATGTTGAGGGGGGAACATCTGACTTGTGTGACAAACAAAAAGTTGGACGTCCTGTGACAGGAACCACCGACTTTCACAAGCAAAAGGTTGACAGATTGATTCAAGATGCAAGATACTCCACTTTGGCAGGAAAAATGAAATGCAAAGATACAGAATGGGGGACGATGAGGCCTGGCTGGAGAGCACTACATGTGAAAAAGATCTTGGAGTCCTCGTGGACAAGTTAAACATGAGCCAACAATGTGATGTGGCGGCAAAAAAAGCCAATGGGATTTTGGCCTGCATCAATAGGAGCATAGTGTCTATGTCCAGGGAAGTAATGCTACCCTTCTATTCTGCCTTGGTTAGACCACACCTGGAATATTGTGTCAAATTCTGGGCACCACAATTCAAGAGAGATATTGACAAGCTGGAATGTGTCCAGAGGAGGGCAACTAAAATGATCAAGGGTCTGGAGAACAAGCCCTATGAGGAGCGGCTTAAGGAGCTGGGCATGTTTAGCCTGAAGAAGAGAAGGCTGAGAGGAGATGTGATAGCCATGTGCAAATATGTGAGAGGAAGCCACAGGGAGGAGGGAGCAAGCTTGTTTTCTGCTTCCTTGGAGACTAGGACACGGAACAATGGCTTCAAACGACAAGAAAGAAGATTCCATCTGAACATTAGGAAAAACTTCCTGACTGTGAGAGCCGTTCAGCAGTGGAACTCTCTGCCTCGGAATGTGGTGGAGGCTCCTTCTTTGGAAGCTTTTAAACAGAGGCTGGATGGCTATCTGTCACGGGTGATTTGAATGCAATATTCCTGCTTCTTGGCAGGGGGTTGGACTGGATGGCCCATGAGGTCTCTTCCAACTTTATGATTCTATGATTCTAAGATTCTAAGATGATCGTTTTATCACTCAGAAATTTCAAGCATAATCAGCATTTCACAAGAACGTGTGGGTCACATTATTGCTTTGCTTGGCTATTGGAAGATCTGTGCACGATGGGTACCCAGGATGCTGACACCTGAAACTTGCCCAACGACACACAGTACTCACATCAACACAATCACCATAAATAGCTTGCATTCTCCGACGAATCTCCTTTGGGGTGACACCTTCTGCTGTCAAGAATTCAACGACTGTATGTTGCTTAAGTCGCACTGACTGACCGTCTGCGCTGGGTTCCATGTTTCGCACTTTAACAACACAACTGTTCAATGCTAAGGCTTCCCGCCAAAGTGGAACTGTAGAGGAGAGTCTACTGAACAAGCCAGTACCTGCCGCATATCAGTACTGCCATCTGTTGAGGAGTTACGAAGGTGGAGGCATTACTTTTCATTCAACCCTCGTATATCAAACCACTAGTCACTCCAAGCCCTGCTATAGTGTAAAATGGGTAGCCTGAGACGCAAACACACACAGATCAAGCTGTTTGTGTAGTACCTGGAAGTTGCCTTTGTAAATAGTGAAAAGGTCCTTGAATTCATGCTCTGGGGAAGGGATTACAGGCCACATCTTCTGCTTCAAAAATCTGGTGGAAGTGAATGGGGCAGAACAATCATTAGTAAGAATATATGAGCAAACAAAAGATTAATATTGGAGGGTGAGCATAGGACACACTCCAGAATCACTACATCACTCTAGGGACTTGGAAAAATTAAAACAATCTGTAGAATTTCCATATAGGTCAAATTGAAGCTTGAAATGCCATTATGGATCCTCAAGATCTAACTATCTTGGTCTGCATGTGCAGAATGATGGAGGGGAACAGCCATCCAATAGAGGCTAATGGGCAAGAAGACACAAGTTTTACCAATCTAAATGATACCTGTGTTTGGACAGGAGAGCGATGAAAGTCAAGAACAGAACGATCAACACCAGAATGAGCGACAATGTCAGGATGAAGGGATCCAGATCTGCAAAGCAGAAGAGAAGGTTAGATGCACAGGAAATTCTATATATTGGGTTGTTGTAGGTTTTTCCGGGCTATATGGCCATGTTCTGGAGGCAATTTTTCTCCTGACGTTTCGCCTGCATCTATGGCAAGCATCCTCAGAGGTAGTGAGGTCTGTTGGAACTAGGAAAAATGGGTTTATATATCTGTGGAATGACCAGGGTAAGACAAAGGACTCCTGTCTGCTGGGGCTAGCTGTGAATGTTTCAGCTGATCACCTTGATTTGCGTTCAATGGCCTGGAAGCGCCTGGGGGAAATCTTTGTATTCCAGGCCATTGAATTTGCATTCCAGGCCCCAGACCATATAAGGCCTTAAAGGTTAGTACCAGCACCTTGAAAGTAATCCGGTACTCAATCGGTAGCCAGTGTAGCTGTTGTAGAATTGGGGTGATACGACACCTCGCTGGCACCCCGGCAAGAAGACAAGCCGCCGCATTTTGCACCAGCTTCAGTTTCCGGATCACTGACAAAGGAAGGCCAATATAGAGGGCGTTACAGTAGTCAAGCCTCGAGATGACCGTCGCCTGGATCACCGTAGCCAGGTCGTTCCTAGATAGGAAGGGAGCCAGTCGCCTAGCCTGACGTAGATGGAAAAACGCAGATCTGCTCACAGCAGAGACCTGGGCCTCCATTGTGAGCAGCGGGTCCAATAAGACACCAAGACTTTTTACAGAAGGTGACGGACGTAGTGTCTCGCCATCCAGAGTAGGCAGCTGGATCTCCCTCCCACCTGGACGTCCCAGCCAAAGGATCTCCGTCTTCGCTGGATTCACCCTCAACCTGCTGGCACGCAACCATCCAGTAATGGCCTCAAGGCACTACAACTCCAAAACTCAAGGTCAGTGCTCACCAAACCCTTCCAGTATTTTCTATTGGTCATGGGAATTCTGTGTACCAAATTTGGTTCAATTCCATCGTTGGTGGAGTTCAGAATGCTCTGATTGTAGGTGAACTATAAATCCCAGCAACTACAACTCTCAAGTGACAAAATAAATCCTCCCCAACCCCACCAATATTTAAATGCGGGCATATTGGGTATTAGTGCCAAGTTTGGTCCAGTGAATGAAAATACATCCTGCATATCAGATATTTACATTATGATTCATAACAGTAGCAAAATTACGGTTACAAAGAAGCAAGGAAAATAATGTTATGGTTGGGGGTCACCACAACATGAGGAACTGGATTTAGGGGTCACGGCATTAGGAAGGTTGAGAATCACTGATCTAGGGGATACTATGTTGTTTTTTTCACCGCTATATTCCAGTTCTCAGCATGTTTCCCAAATTAGTGATGAGAAAAGGGAGAAGGAGAGAGGAAGAAAGTCCTAAATTTTCTGCCAGTAAAATGACGAATCTACCCCACTGTATTCTCCATGTTCAAAGTGATAAAAGCAAACAGAAAATGAACCTTTGGGTTGAAAACAAACACCTGTATTTGATTTGTAGTTGTTTTGCCATATTGCAGTTTGTTGCAATTCAGTTCCCCCTTTTCCGATTTGGCCAATATAAACAAGAAGAATCTCACATAAAAAATATTCTGAGTAAGAAACAGCCAAGAATCACAAGAGGCAGTTACTAAAGGATGAGAGGAAATGGTTCTGCTTTTACAAGTGGTAAACTTTATTACGTTGCCAAGTCTTTAAAGGGCTAACAAAATGGATACACAACGACAATTCGCAAAAGAAGACTGGAATTAACGTTCAACAATCGTTGTGTCTATTTTACAAGCTTTATTATTGGAAACATCAAATCCAACAGTAAATTTCTTAGGAATATAAACATCAACACATGCTTTTGTCAGCAAAGTCACTGGAAAAATCCCTGATTTAGTCTTGAATTTAATCTCTTTAAGCTTCTTGAATATTTTGATCTGTAGGGGGGAAACAGAGTCTTTTCAGAGAAAAGATAGTTTGTAGTAACTAGTAAACTGCATATATGTGCATTACAAATATTATATGGTAAGTGAAAGAAGTCCCTGGTGGTGCAATGGGTTAAACCCTTGTGCCAGCAGGACTGCTGACCAATAGGTTGACGGTTCAAATCCGGGGAGTGGGGTGAGCTCCCATCTCAACTCTAGCTTTCCATGTGGGGACATGAGAGAAGCCTCCCACAGGATGGTAAACATCAAATACCAGGTATCATCTTGGCAACGTCCTTGCAGATGGCCAATTATCTCACACCAGAAGCGACTTGCAGTTTCTCAAGTCACTCCTAACATGAGAAAAAAAGTGCTTTTGAGAAAAAAATCTGATTTGAGCATCTGTAAACAGAAAATTCTATAGAGATACAAGCACACTTTCAGTGTAGGGAACCAACTTTAGGAGGATAGAATTATCTCTTCATATTAACATCTATATAAATAAAAATGTAATGTTCGTTTGTGGGATTAACATAACTCAAAAACCACTGGATGAATTGACACCAAATTTGGAAACAAGAGATCTACTAATCCAATGAGTGACCATCACTAAAAAAATTGAATTTGTCATTTGGGAGTTGTAGTTGCTGTAGTTGCTAGTTCACCTACAATCAAAGAGCATTCTAAACTCCACCAATGATGGAATTGAACCAAACGTGGCACACAAGACTCCCATGACCAACAGAAAACATTAGAAGGGTTTGATTGGCATTAACCTTGGAGTTGGGAGTTGTAGTTCACCTACATCCAGAGAGCAATGTGGACTCAATGATGGATCTGGACCAAACTTGGCACGAATATTCCATATGTCAAAATATGAACACAGATGGAGTTTGGGGAAAATAGACCTTGAAAATTGGGAGTTGTAGTTACTTATAATCAAAGAGCATTCTGAACTCCACCAACAGAGTTGGGGGAACTTCCCACACAGAACCCCCATGACCAACAGAAAATACTTAAGGCCATTGAGTCCAACTCCCTTCACCAGGGCAAGAAAACATAATCAAAGCCCTCCTGACACACAGATATAGTATCATAGATTTGAGAGACCCCTAAAGAAGGACAATGATATGTTGCATGTTCTAAAGTAAGCAAACCAGACACTCTCCACATCAACACTGACAAAGAAATTGCAAGAAGTACTGTTTACCCACAAGCAGAAAGAAATTACATTTATTAGAAACTAACACTTTCTCATTACTTTATTTTCCAGACCACCAGATCGGGCCACAGCAATGCGTGGCAGGGTACGGCTAGTATTAACATATATATCTTCAAAAGCAGGGGCCCTTTCACACAGCCCTACATCCCACAATATCAAGGGCAGCGTGGAAGGGCCCTAGGATTTGATTCCAGAATTGTACAGGACAGATGAGGCAACTAGCATGAATGGATGGAAGAATGACCTGAAAAATCCTTACCGCTGGGTATCACTACTGACACGGACTGTGACCAGACACTCCAGTAGCCATTGTAGGATCCTCGAGCCTTGGCCCTCACAGCCAGAGTGTAGCGAATGCCACTTTTCAGGTTGACAAGGTGATAGGTCTGTCCAATGGTTGTCTCCACCTGCAGGACAAAAACAGAGCTAAGAAGGAGGGAAAGAGGAAGGCAGCATCCAGGGTTCAGGAGGAAACAACCAGGGACTAGGAGCCCCCAGTGGCGCAGTGGGTTAAACCCCTGTGCTGGCAGGACTGAAGACCGACAGGTCGCAGGTTCGATTCCGGGGAGAGTGCAGATGAGCTCCCTCTATCAGCTCCAGCTCCTCATGCGGGGAAATGAGAGAAGCCTCCCACAAGGATGATAAAACATCAAAACATCTGGGCATCCCCAGGGCAACGTCCTTGCAGACGGCCAATTCTCTCACACCAGAAGCGACTTGCAGTTTCGGTAAGTGAAAGAAGTCCCTGGTGGCACAATGGGTTAAACCCTTGTGCCAGCAGGACTGCTGACCAATAGGTTGATGGTTCAAATCCAGGGAGTAGGGTGAGCTCCCATCTCAATAGTGGGGACATGAGAGAAGTATCCCACAGGATGGTAAACATCAAATGTCATGTGTCACCTGGGCAATGTCCTTGCAGATGGCTAATTCTCTCACACCAGAAGCAACTTGCAGTTTCTCAAGTCGCTCCTGACACAACCAAAACAACAACAACAAAAAAAAAACAACAACCAGGGACTTACTCGCTGGGTCTCGTAACCTTCGGGGGAGATGGACACCTCATAGTGCAAATTGCTGTCCATATTTGTAACAGGAGGTGGCAACCAGCTCACATTCAACAGTTGTGACGACTCCAACAGCTGCACCGTCAGGTTGGAGGGTGGATCTAACAAAACTGGCCAAGGGATGGAAGAGGAGAAGAGTCAGACCTCAAAAGATGTCTTTGTCTTTACACATAATGCCGTGGTGGGGGATGATGCCAGGAGCAAGAAATGTCCCCCAATGTAACTGCCCACCCTTGAGATGAGGCAACGCAAGAGGCTGCAATCCACATTAACTATCTTAGTTGGCCTGCACTCTCTCTCTCTTGCCAGGGCTGTGTTGATCCTTAGGCAGAGTGAGGAGAGGGCAAATTGTTTACTGCTGATCTGCAGATTACAACATGGAGCAATGGGTTCAAATTGCAGGAAAAAAAAGGTTCCACCTAAACTTTAGGAAGAACCTTCTGATGGTAAGAGCTGTTCAACAGTATGCTTCCTCTGAGCGTGGTGGAGTCTTCTTCTCTGGAGGTTTCTAAGCAGAGGTTGGATGGATTTGATTGTACTTTTCCAGCATGGCATGGGGTTGTACTGGATGGCTCTATGATCTTTTGATTCTAGGAGCAATGCGGAACTGGAAGACATAGCCGTGTGTCCCATATCACCCTATTAATGCCTGTCAGTGCTTCTCAACCTGAAGTCCCCAGATGTTTTTGGCCTTCAACTCCCAGAAAACCTAACAGCTGGTAAACTGGCTGGGATTTCTGGGAGTTGTAGGCCAAAAACATGTGGGGACCTCAGGTTGAGAACCACTGGCCTAAGTTAACCTGCTGCTCTCAGGTGGGTGAGTTGGAACAGCCAAGAAGGGCAACTTTATACCATATAACATTCCTATGCACAGCATTTGGCAAATTTCAGCTACCAGCTTCTAATAAAATATGTCCACTCTTGGACTTTCCTTGTTCCTCCAGGCATGTCTATGGTATGTTTTCATCCAGAGTTCCTATACAGTCACATTGGAGAACCTATAAAATTTCTAGATAAGGTACCTCTCTAGGAATTTTCTAGGACCTCCAGCAAGACACTACAATAACTTTAAGTTGAGGTCATAGAATCATAGATTAGAGTTGAAGAGACCACATGGATCATTTAATCCAGGGGTCCACAAACTTTTTAAACAGAGGGCCAGGTCACAGTCCCTCAAACTGTTGGAGGGCCGGATTATAATTTGAAAAAAAATGAATAAATTCTTAAGCACACTGCACATATCTTATAAACAATACAATAATTAAAATGAAGAACAACATTAACAAATATAAACTTATTAGTATTTCAATGGGACGTGTGGGCCTGCTTTTGGCTGATGAGATAGAATTGTTGTTGTTGTTGTTGTTGTTGTTGTGTGCTTTCAAGTCATTTCAGACTTAGGTTGACCCTGAGCGAGGGCCGGGTAAATGACCTTGGAGGGCTATATCTGGGCCCCGGGCCTTAGTTTGAGGACCCCCGATTTAATCCAACCTTCTGCCATGCAGGAAAAGCACACTCAAAGCACCCCTGACAGAAGGCCAGCCTCTGCTTAAAAGCCTCCAAAGAAGGAGCCTCCACTACACTTTGAAGCAGAGTGAACAGATCTTACAGTCAAGAAATTCTTCCTAATCTTCAGGTGGAATCCCGTTTCCTGTAATTTGAACCCATTCTTCCACTGAGTCCTAGTTTCCAGGGCAGCAGAAAACAAACCTGCTCTCTCTTCCTTATGACATCCTTTCACATATTTATATATGGCTATCATGTCTCAAAAGATAGATGCTTTTGAGCTGTGGTGCTGGAGGAAAGTGCTGAGAGTGCCTTGGACTGCGAGAAGATCCAACCAGTCCATCCTCCAGGAAATAAAGCCTGACTGCTCATTGGAGAGAAGGATACTAGAGACAAAGTTGAAGTACTTTGGCCACATCATGAGGAGACAGCAAAGCCTGGAGAAGACAATTATGCTGGGGAAAGTGGAAGGTAAAAGGAAGAGGGGCCGACCAAGGGCAAGATGGATGGATGGCATCCTTGAAGTGACTGGACTGACCTTGAAGGAGCTGGGGGTGGTGATGGCCGACAGGGAGCTCTGGCATGGGCTGGTCCATGAGGTCACGAAGAGTCGGAGACGATTGAACGAATGAACAACAACATCATGTTTCATCTCAGCCTTCACTTCTGCAGCTAATTAAGTCAGTCCTCATAAGGATTCATGGTCTCCAGATCTTGGATCATTTTAGTTGCCCTCCTCTGGACACCTTCCAGCTTGTCAATATCTCTATTAAACTGTAACATTGGGCACAGTGTTATTCTAGGTGAGGTCTGACCAAAGCGGAATAGAGAGGCACCATGATTTTCCTCAATCTGGACACTATACTCCTTTGGATGCAGCCCGAAATCCCATAGGCTTTCTAGCTGCTGCATCACACTGTTGGGTCATTCACCTTGAAGACTCCAAGATCTTTTTCACATGTATTAATGTTGAGTCAGGCGTCACCCATCCTGTATCTGTGCATTTCATTTTTTAGGGCCTCATCACACTACAGAATGAATCCACTTTAAATCTGGTTGCTGCCTCCTGCAGAATTCTGGGGTTTGTAGTTTAGGGAGGAGCCTTCAACAGCCTCACTAAACTACAACCCCCAGAATTCTACAGGAGACAGAAACTGGATTTAAAGTGGATTCATTCTCTAGTGTGATGAAATGGAAAATGTGGTCATTAATTGCATCCATTGTATGCTTAGAACTTACTCAGCCTTTCCACATAGAGGTCTCTTCTGCTATATATCGTATGGTTCATCCCATCGAAGACCTTGACTTCCATGGGAGCAAAGGCCGAAACATCTCCCCGTGGAAAGAAGCAAGTATAACGTGTTGTGTTCCAAGGTGTGTATTCCACAGTCAAACTGCATAGTGTTAGGTATTGGTCTTCTCTGTGTGGAAGGAAATGGTAGAAAATTACGAAAATTGGAAACAAAACTAATCTGAAAGTTTTCTTTGTTGTTCCCAATAGAAACCCCAGAAATAGGAAAGCAGATATTATTTTAAGTGATTCCTGAACACATGATTTACATGGTTTCTGCTGTGCCGTATGAAAATGTTTACTCCTGAGACTTTTTAAAATGCTTCCTGTCTCGGCTAGTAGTCAAGATAAAAAGTTAAAAATTTCAGATCCTTTTAAACAAACATTTGGGTGAATATTTCAGATTCCGATGTGAATCCATCTTCAGCATACCTGCAGCTATTGTCAAGGTGCCTATAACAAAACCAGAGTATTATAACTCATAAATATATCCCGCCACTGGTCATCAGTATAAAAAGGTAAAGGTAAAGGTAGTCCCCTGACATTAAGTCCAATCATGTCTGATTCTGGGGTGTGGTGCTCATCTCCATTTCTAAGCCAAAGAGCCAGCGTTGTCCGTAGACACCTCCAAGGTCATGTGGCTGGCATAACTGCATGGAGCGCCGTTACCTTCCCGCCGGAGCGGTACCTATTGATCTACTCACATTTGCATGTTTTCGAACTGCTAGGTTGGCAGAAGCTAGGGCTGACAGCGGAAGATCACGCCACTCCCCGGAATCAAACCTGTGACCTTTCAATCAACAAGCTCAGCAGCTCAGTGCTTTAACCCACTGCGCCACCGGGGGCTCCTTAGGTCATCAGTATAAAGGATCTTAATTACTAATCCCACAACTGGACACCAATATGATTCTGGCACGGAGCGTTTATGTGTACATATGAAGTAACGTGTGTACTTTGGTAGATTCGCTGCCACCACCTAAATTAACTTTAGGATATTACCGATAATTCCCTGAGGTAAACTTCTTCTTGCCCACCAGTTCTCCCTTAGCTCCTTGATCTGACTGACGGTGGCCCAATAATTTGTATTATATGCTGTTGTATGTTTTGAATTGATGACTGTTTTAATTGTTGTAAACCGCAATGAGTCGCCGACTTAGGCTGAGATATTAGCGGTATACAAGTGTATAAATAAATAAGTATAAATAAATAAAGATGTTAAAACAAAATGGAAATATTCTCACAGGAATGAATCACTACTGAGGCTTCTTTAAAAGTTGAACTAGAGAAAATGTTTATTTCTCATATAGAACAAACAACTATCTTCTTCAATGAGGCACACAAGCTTGAATGGTTACTGAGGCACAATAATCTTGATGGTTACTTCAAACAGGTTAATTGACTTAGATATGAGTAAAACTCCTCACTCTACAATAACACAGTAGCAGTGAGTTCCACAGACTAACCTAACCAGGTTGTCTCTAGAGCAATTAGCTACACTCTAAGCAGTCCTCTAAAAGCTAATCTACTCTAACGCAGAGAGCAAACCACTTGTGTTAAAACCCACACAAGCACCCAGGCGTTTACCTTGACCTTCCTGGCCAATAATGCAGAATCACCTGTCACAAATGCTCTCTGACAGAAAAAAATCTAAGCACACCAAAATCTACCTCTCCTCTTCTGTTCCCAAAACCCATCTCTCCTCTTTCTGTCAAATTCACACGTTTCTCTCTCAAGGCTAAACTCCTCCTATCTGTCCTAACCAATCAAAAGAGAGCTTCAGCTCCTCCCCTCTTCTCCTTTTATACTCCCAAGATGTCTGCTTTCTTTGCTGACACTCCCAAAATGGAGTCCTGCCTACTGATATTCCAGGCTTCTTCTTAGGCCTACGAGGTAAGAATCATTACAGTGCCCCTCTCTTTGTTTTCCACTCCTCCTTCTCTAATTTTGGGTTGGCAGAGTGTATGCCTCTAGACAAGTGTTTCTCAACCTTCCTAAGGCTGCAACCTCTTTATGGTTGTGGTGACGCCAACCATAAAATTATTTTCATTGCTACTCCATAACTTTAATTTTGCTACCGTTATGAATTGTAATGTAAATATCTGATATGCAGGATGTTTTTTCATTCACTGGACCAAACTTGGGTCAAATACCCAATATATCCAAATGTAAATACTTGGTGGGGTTGGGGGAGGGGACTGATTTTCTCATTTGGAAATTGTAGTTGATGGAATTCATAGTTAACCTACAATCAAAGAGCATTCTAAACTCCACCAACAATGGAATTGGACCAAACTTGGCACACAGAACTCCCATAACCAACAAAAAATACTGGAAGGGTTTGGTGGGCATTGGCCTTGAGTTTTGGAGTTGTAGTTCATCTATATTCAGAGAGCACTGTGGACTCAAACTATGATGGATCTGGACCAAACTTGGTACAAATACTCATTATGCTCAAATGTGAACACTGGTGGAATCTAGGGAAAATAAAGCTTGACATTTGGGAGTTGTCGTTGCTGGGATTTATTGTTCACCTACAATGACAGAGCATTCTAAACACCACTAATGATAGAATTGGGCCAAACTTCCCACACAAAACCCCCATGACCAACAGAAAACACTGGGTTTTCTGATGGTCTTTGACAACTACTCTGACACCTCCATGTGACCTCCCCCAGGGGTCCTGACCCCCATATTGAGAAACATTGCTCTACACTCTGTTAGACTCCAACTCCCAATAACCCTAATCAGAAGAGTCAATTATGAGAAATTCTGGGAGTTGAAGTCCAACCACATCTGGATGACCACAGTTTGCCTGATTCGGCCCGAAATTCTTCTGCTTCTCAACAGCTTTGCTACTGGCAGAATCTGCAACGTCACATCCTCTTTGGCATGTTATTGAGCCTTTCTCAACCTATGGCCCTTTGAATATATTAGGATTATTACTCCTACCATTCTCTGCCAAAAGGATAATTTGCTGTGCTGTTTGGGTAGACCTAATGGGCAACTGGTGTTGGAAAGCTACTCTTTGGGTTGGCAAACTGAACTTTCGGAAAGTTCCTATACCTTTAATCATGGATGTGTAAAAGGGAAATGTTAAGCAATTGTATTTATTGCCAACGTATTGCCTTTCTTCCACACAAGCCATTAAAGGTGCAGGAGTGGCAAACCTTGGGTCTGATATTGAGGACACCATATTAAATACCATAGAATACGTTTTTGAAGCCCAAAATAGCAGAGACTTGGCCACTCCAGGAGAATCTAGGCTGGTAGGACTGAGCATCTTCTTCTCAAAGTATCCAAGAACTAAATAGTTAACCTGTCGAGACTGACTCTTTTTGTATAACCTGCAAGTCACTCACCCATACTTGTAGCCAAAGGTGTATGTGCTCTGATTGTTTTGTTCTTCGGTTGGACTGAATGTCTCCCAGAAGCAGGCCAGCTCTTCCATTTTCTCTGTGAAACACTTGGGATATGAGAGGTTCTCTTTCTGTAGAAATGCAACTGGGGCAAAACAGAACCACAGAGTGAGTGTTACCAAAATAAATGGAGATGGGGTTAGGTATGTTTAGTTTGGAGAAAGCTATGAGGTGACATAATAGCCATATTTATCTGAAGATGCCATGGAGAAGATGGAGAAAACGACTAGAACAGAAACTAGAACACAAACAGATTTCAATCACAAGAAAAGAGATTTCACCCGAACATACTTCCGGTGGGACAATGAACTCTATGAATAGAGAGATGGAGTAGCCATGGGAACCTCTCAGCCCTGTCATAGCAAGCTTCTACATTGAACACTTTGAAAAACAAGCCCTGGAAACAGCAACAAAAAGCCCACTATATGGTTCAGATATATGGATGACACCTTCACCATTTGGAGAAGAAGAACTTAACAAGTTCCTGGACCACCTCAACAGCAACCACCCACACATCAAATTCACCATGAAAAAAGAAAATGGAGGAAAACTGCCATTTCTACATGTCCTAGTCATCCCCAAACCCAATCAACATTTGGACCACACAATTTACAGAAAACCTACACACATAGATACTATAGATACCTACATAAAAACTCCAGCCATCACCCAAGTCAAAAAAGAAGCACCATGAAAGCCCTGGTAGACCATGCAAAAAGAATCTGTGAATCCCATCTCCGTCAAGGTGAACTGAACCACCTAAACTGGGTTTTACAGGCCAATTATTTATTATTATTATTATTATTATTATTATTATTATTATTAACTTTATTTGTACCCCGCTAGCATCTCCCGAAGGACTCGATGCGGCTCACACAGGCCAAAGCCTCAAAAACACAATACAACAAAACATAGCACAACAGCAAAACAAGCAAATCAAAACAGTTAAGCAAGTAAACAACAACAGTAACAATACATCCAACAATACAATGGATACTCCACCACAGACATCTGAAGAGCTGCAAGACCAAGAACAAGCCATGAGAGTCAAGACAAAGATTCACCCAGGGTGATGCCATACATCAAGGGAACCACTGACCGCACTGGGAAGCTGATGAGGAAACACAACATACAAACTATCTACAGACCCACCAAGAAAATCCAACAAATGCTACATTCAGCAAAGGACAAGAGGGATCCTCTCACTTCTGCAGGAGTCTACCGTGTACCATGCAGCTGTGGACAAGTCTACATAGGAACCACCAAACACAGCATTGCCCAAACACGAATCAAGAAAGATGAAAGGCACTGCAGACTACTTCAACCAGAGAAGTCAACTATAGCATTTGATGAACCACCCTGGACACAGCATATTATTTGAGAACACAGAAATGGTGGACCACTCTAACACCCACCATGTCAGGCTACACAGAGAAACGATTGAAATCCATAAGCATGTCGGCAATTTCAACAGAAAAAAGGAAACCATAACAATAAACAAAATCTGGCTACCAGTATTTTAAAAATTCTAAAAACAGGACAGTAAATAAAGAGTAGCACTCAAAAAACAGGGGAATTCCAGACAGGAAACAATCAGGGCCAGGTAACATCTCCCAATAAAGGATTACCCCAGGCAGGAATCAGCCAGGCTTTGAAGCTGCAAGGCTATTCAATGCTAATCAAGGTGGCCAATTGCGACATTCACACTTGCCTCAAACAGACAAGAGTTCTTTCTCCCACCTTGACATTCCAGAGATATATAAACCTCACTTGCCTAGTTCCAACAGACCCCTCAACCTCTGAGGATACCTGCCAGAGATGTGGGTGAAATGTCAGGAAAGAATGCTTCTGGAATATGACCATACAGTCCAGAAAACTCACAGCAAACCAACTCAGGAACCTCTTTATCTGATACTATTTTTTTCAATCACCATGGCCACAGGATGGGGTTGGACATACCTTTAAACAGAGTGAAGCAGCCTGTTCCAAATTCAGAATCTTGCAGGGGAAAGAGAATCATTTCTATTGTTTACTCTACTTACAATACCTCTTACAGCACAGAGTTGCCTTTGCCCCATAGGTCTGATTCTTATCTGCTACCTGCACTCCATTGATCTTGGGCCCCTTCCACACAATTGTATAAAATCCACATTGAACTGGATTATTTGGCAGTGTGGACACAGATAACCCAGTTCAAAGCAGATATTGTGGATTATCTGCTTTGTGGATGGGTCCTTAGTAATGTTGGAGGATACTAGTCATGTAAGGTTATCTACCAATTTGTTTACTTTTGTATTCAGAAACCAGAGCCCTTTTTACACTGCCATATAATCTAGATTATAAAAATTGATAATCCAGATTATTTTATTTGAACTAGATTTTGGAGTCTACACTGCCATATAATCCAGTTCAAAGCAAATAATTTTGATTTTATATAGCAGTGTAGAAAGGACCTGGGACAACATGGCCCAATTCAGGGTGTCCCCCCCCCCCCCAAACTACTCATTGACTGTATTGTGATTCTACTTTAAATGTCACAGCTGCATCCTATGGAATTCCAGGATTTATAGTTTATCCAGAGGCACTAGGGAAGAACTTTCTGGCTGAAGATTTTAAATGCCTTTCCTAAACTACCAATCCCTGGATCCCATGGGTTGTTGTCATAGCAGATAAAGTGGAATCATAACATGATGTGTGACAAGACCCCTGGCTTCAGGTCATACATGCATATCTGGAATACACTGCAGCATATTGCTAGGGGGGCCCTGTTTGTTGTTATTTGGCAAATATTGCAAATGGTCATGCTTATATATAGGGTCACATGATTTGGCACTAGTCTCTTAGGACGTATTTTCTCTGCATTATACATACACACACACGCCGTACGAACCTGTGCTTGACATGTGTTTCCCGAGATAAGGATGGGCCGGTGCGCACACCCTCAAGCCCTGTTTTCCGTTCCCGCCACTGAGCAGAATCTGCTCTGGGGAAAAGAGTACAGGAAGGAGGGTGCCCATTGTAGTGGAGGGAGAAACTGTTTATTTAGCCCGCCCCCCCCCCCCCGCCCCCATACACACTCATGTATACCAGACACCCCTTTTTATATGGCTACTAATACATGCCAGCCACAAATCATCATCTTCCCCTTCCTGCTTTGTGGCCAAATAAATAATCGGAATGTAACCGTAAAGAGAGAGGAAAGGGTGAAGGCTGGGGAGGGTCATAGAAGTTTTATTTTATTTAAACACCACTTTGCCTCTGTCGATGTGTTTCTTCATATTTAATTCTATCATTCTTAATCAGAGAATTACAATACTTAGTTCTTTGGTTATTCAGAGATCGGTTTAACTATCTATAGGCATAGTAGTTTGCCTTACTCTCATAGTTTTCTGTGAAACAATGTCCTATTTGAAATTCCTTATCTTTCTACTGAATCCTGAATGCGTGTAAATTGAGGGAAAGGCAGATGTTACAGAATTTTGCAGCTTAAGAACCTCAGATTTGCATGGAATTCTACGAGATTGTCCAAAAAGGAACTTTTCTAAGTTCTGAATGGAATTGGGAGGGAGAGCCAATACTCCAGAAGACAGGAGCAGAATTCAAAACAATCTTGACAGATGAGAGAGATGGGCCATAACTAACAAAATGAAGTTCAACAGGGACAAATGCAAGATACTCCACTTTGGCAGAAAAAAAATGAAATGCGAAGATACAGAATGGGGGACAATGCTTGGCTTGAGAGCAGTACGTGTGAAAAAGATCTTGGAGTCCTCATGGACAACAAGTTAAACATGAGCCAACAATGTGATGTGGCGGCAAAAAAAGCCAAATGGGATTTTGGCCTGCATAAATAGGAGTCTAGTGTCTAGATCCAGGGAAGTAATGCTTCCCCTCTATTCTGCCTTGGTTAGACCACACCTGGAATATTGTGTCCAATTCTGGGCACCACAATTGAAGAGAGATATTGACAAGCTGGAATGTGTCCAGAGGAGGGCGACTAAAATGATCAAGGGTCTGGAGAATAAGCCCTATGAGGAGCGGCTTAAAGAGCTGGGCATGTTTAGCCTGAAGAAGAGAAGGCTGAGAGGAGATATAGAATTATAGAGTTGAAAGAGACCTCATGGGCCATCCAGTTCAGTCTCCTGCCAAGATGCAGGAATATTGCATTCGAAGCACCCCTGTCAGATGGCCATCCAGGCTCTGATTAAAAGCTTCCAAAGAATGAGGGCCATGTATAAATATGTGAGAGGATGATGTATAAACATGATGAGGTCCATGTATAAATATGTGAGAGGAAGTCATAAGGAGGAGGGAGTGAACTTGTTTTCTGCTTCCTTGGAGACTAGGACGCAGAACAATGGCTTCAAACTACAAGAAAGGAAATTCCGTCTGAACATGAGGAAGAACTTCCTGACTGTGAGAGCCGTTCAGCAGTGGAACTCTCTGCCCCGGAGTGTGGTGGAGGCTCCTTCTTTGGAAGCTTTTAAACAGAGACTGGATGGCCATCTGTCGGGGGTGCTTTGAATGCAATATTCCTGCTTCTTGGCAGGGGGTTGGACTGGATGGCCCATGAGGTCTCTTCCAACTCTCTGATTCTATGATTTACTGCCTACTTCTAATCAGTTGCTAAATGGTAAGCAGGGGCGGCTCAACCCATTACGCAAAGTAAGTATTTGCAGTATAGTTGATTTTGCCCAGGGGCGCTCTTCAGGTGCTCTTGGGGGGAAATAGACCTTGACATATGCGAGTTGTAGTTACTGGGATATATAGTTCACCTACAATCAAAGAGCATTCTGAACTCCACCAATGATGGACTTGAACCAAATATGGCACACAGAACTCCCACCATGAACAGAAAATATATATCAGTGATTGGTTGGGGGGGGGGGGCACCAAAATAATGTTTGCTTACTGTTGAAAATTACCTAGGGCCGCCTCTGATGGTAAGTTACCACTGCCAACCCAATTGACTAATTGGGAGTTATAATTGGATTTCAAGCTGGGGTGAAAATTGTATGGGCTTCCAGAGGTTATTGGACTGTATCTCTCAGCATTCCTCACAATTTCCTAAACCAGCAAGCCCTG